AATACAACACAAACTCTTAAAAATTTTCTTGTATATATTGGATCATCAAGATGTTAGTCATCTGTTAATTTATCAAAACAACGTCATTTAGGATAAATTCAATAAAACTAAAAAATTATGGGATGTTCGAATTCTCACAATAATAGACAAGTAAAATGAATATTTAAATTAATAATAATTAAGTTAAATTTTACAAAATAATTATTTGTAGATTAAATTTAAAACATAAATAGTTACATATTGATTTGATAAATTAAAAAAAAATTGATAACATTTATTTGATTAAAAACTTATATAAGTTAATGTTTACATAATTTATACAAAAAAGTTACTTTGGTCTAGAAATTATTAGGCTCTTACTTGTCCACCAGTGTGAAAGTTTGAACCTCCCAAAAAAGTATTTTTAATTTTATAGAATTTATCCAAAATGATGTTGTTTTCATAATTAACTGATGAGTAATATCTTTATGATTAATATATATAAGCATGATTTTGAAAGTTTATGTAGTATTTTTAATTTTATAAAGTTTATTTAAAATGATATCATTTTGATAAACTAACAGATGACTGGCACATTTGATGAACTATATATAAGCACGATTTTGAGTGTTTGTGTTGTATTTTTATACTTTTGTTTAGTTCAATGTGAAATATGCACTAGTATAAAGTTTAGGAAAGAAAATGCACGATCTGTAAAGTTCATATAGTATTTTTAAGTTTTTGTTTAGTTCAATATGGAATACGCACTACAACAAAATTCGGGAAGTAATAGGCATGAATGGTAAAGTTGTGGTTGAAATAGGCCTTTTTCCCTACTTTCTTCACTACAAATGACACCTGCTAACCTAATAAAAAATAATCAGAGCGTTGACACAATTGAAAAGAAATTCTTCCAAGCATACCTCCTACACAGGATATAATCAATTAGATTTAGATCTTATAACAATACAAAAAACAATGTTAAACTATTAACAAAGCTGAATCCTTTATTTTTGTAATGACATTTCATCAAGAGAAGTTGTCTAAAAATTAACACTATAAGATAAAATAGTTTATAAAGTATGCCACATTTTCATCTATTATTGTTTTGAACCAATTTTTTTACTATTTAATAATTTGTTTTTAATAAATATTTTATTTTGAATATAACAAAACTATCGACTTCAGTCTAAAATAATATTTTATCAAATGGTTCGTAATATAGTATAAATACATAAACTTAAAAATAATAATAAGAAGAAAGATTTCTTTTGAAAAACTTAGAACTTATTTATTGCGAAAGTTGAAAATTCCGAATACAAGCTGGGAATTTTCAACTTTCGCAATAAATAAGTTCATGTTTTTATAAGAATCACCATTAGGGGGTCCATGTTTTGCTAATAGGTGAGATACAATGTTATAAATACGATGTACAGAGGAAAAAGAAACTAAATGAAATTTCGATGACCAGAAATGAATGTCATTTATGAAATGTGGATTGACAACGTCTTTGCTAAAACCTTGAATAACTTAAATCAGATTCTGTGAATTACCTTCTTCATATGAAAAAAGATAATCTACTACGGAGAGATAATCTTCTCTTGCTCTTCTTCAAAGATGGCAAGCAACTATCTATTGTATCCGGGAGGAACGTAACAACCAATTCCATAATGGTCTCGCCCGTTCGCCTGTGTCTATCGCTGCTAAGGCTCTCGCCTTATGTGAGGATAAATGCACTGCAATGTGCTCTCTTGGTTCTAAAATTGGACCCATTTATCTCTAATGTCTGGTCTTCATATTGGTCTACCCCCCATGACGTGAGGAATCCGCAACTCTGAATTCTGATAATTATGTTATGTGTACACTGTTCATCAGTTCATCGGATTTTTCCTCTTCCTCTTTCTTTTATTTATATGTATCGATGTTTGATTGCATCACTTCTATAATTGATTAATGAAAACTCTTTAACAAAAAAAACAAAGATTTTTGTACGAAAAAAATATTAAGCTTATTATCAAATGTATCATAATTACAGTAGAATAAACATAGAAAATATGTAAAACTACTATGTAATCCTGAACATGTCTTTAATAATAAGATAAAAATAATCTATGATAAGAATAAAAAAATCATACAAGATGAAAATTAATTTCAGATCAAATTTAAGTAAACTAAACATTTTTAAATACTCATTAACATTGATTATATAGTTATGTATTTTTTTGGTTACTAACCCTCCCGTAGGGCAAGCTAACTCTAGTAATAAATAAAACAAATGTAATCAGTTTACATATTTACGCTTTTGTAATTGGTACTTTATATATATATATATAACTTATATTTAAAAAATAGATAAAAAAACTAAATTTAATTATAATTTATTTGAAAACCTCCAGGAAGATGAGTTAATTAAATATAAAAAAAAAAATTATGAAAATCTAAATGTAGCACAAATATATTCCTATATATCTATTTTATAACTTTTCTCATTCTTAGAAACTATGGAAGTTAATAGTTTCATATGCATTGCATGCTTGCAATATCTAACGTCCCCTAAACTTAAAACGGCCTTTCATATATTAGAGAAGACATGAAATAATGTAACATGTTCAGAAAAGTTGAAATTTTGCTATGTGGTGCTTTCTGTTTGCAATTTCGAAATAGCATCATTTATTTGATATTTAATATTTTCATCATTTTTTTGTAGCATCATATCTTTTCTTTTGGGCAGAGATGCATGAGCTGATCAACTCAAATGGAACAACAGATCGATGTGAAGTTTACAAACGGGTAGAATATTGGCACTGCAACAAGATTACGATATAAAATATGTGGTGTTATTGAACTTTTTTTCTCAAGTGCGTGAGTGTGCTAAAATGTACATTCTTCGTTTCCTTTTTTTAATAAACTAAGGGTCCGGCAGACCAAGATCTAACCAATTAATTTAATGGGGCCTTATCACTAGTGGCAGGTAAACCCGGTTGTTCTTCGTGAGATTTAGAGATCTATTCCACCTAACCACATGAAGAACTAACAATTTCACACTGAAGAGAAATAAATCACTGGCTTATAACAACGTGACAACTTTTCATGCACTGGAGACCACTAGACCACCTGGATGTAGTTAAGTCAGTGATTATGCAACAATGTACATTATTCTTTTTATTTTACATTCTTTGGTCAGTGAGGACATCTCCAATAGTTACCCTCATTTCTTTCTTCAAAGTGGGATAAACTCAAAATAAATTTACATTTGTCTCTAATAGTTCCTTTCATTTTTCTCCTAAAATAATAATTTCAAATTTATTATATAATTACTATTTATTATTAATTCTAATAATTATTATTATTTTAAAAAACTTACAAATTTTACCCGCGTATGATTTTATGTTAATTAAATCTTCATTACCTACACAATTTTAGTTTCTAAAAAAAAGATACATGGGTTTATGTAAACTTATTATTATATTATGAGAGTATTAAAAATTAAAACAAAAAACGCAAATATTGAATTTTTATATATAAGAAATTAAAACTTTATGAACATTTTGGGAACAATCATACTCTTCTTAGGTAGATTTAGTTCTGAATATGTACACACAAAATAATAAATAAACATATATAGTTAGTTAGAATAGATATTTAAAAAAAGGGCAAATGTCAAATAGATTTTTTAACTTTTTATCATAAAGATAGATCTCAAAAACTAAAATAACCAAAATAGCATTTTTTGTTTTGAAAATTTTAAGTTTTTCTATTTTTAAAAATTTGAAATCTTACCCCCAAGATCCCACTCCTCAACTCTAAACAAAAAAAACTTAGGATTATTTAACCCAAAGAATATAAATGTATATTTACTTATTTTTGATAAAACATTTAAGTCTTTGTTCATTTTTATTTTTAAGATCTATATTTGTGTAAAAACCTTTTTTAGGTCTATCGTAGAGAATTTCTCTTAATAAAATATAAAATTCTCTATATTTTAGTTTGACAATGACTTTCCGAATAAAAAAAATTACTCTAAAAAAAATTTGAATAGTATAGAAAATACAGAGTCAAGTGATATACAATTTAAAAAACTGAAATACTTCTGCATAAAAATATGAAACAAACTCTTACAAAAGATAACCAAATTAAGAATCACTGGTAACGAACTAAATAAATGTGATATAAATTATAGAATCTGTTTTTTATTAAAAAAAAAATTATAGAATCAGTTTTACAGTTATTATTTATTAATAATAGTTTTTTATGTTTACAAAAACTTTAAGTTTAGCATTAAAGAATGTTGATGTCAACTTTTGAAAAATTTTATGGCAACATTTTGAGGATTGTTCTACAATGGTCGGCAGTCATCAAAACATCTTTGTAAGTGGCATCAACTCATAAAAATTCTAAATACCATAAAGATTTTCTAATACCGTAACTTAGATTTTCTAAATACCATCATTGTAGATTTTCTAAACTATATCTCAATTATAAATAAAAAGTGCAAGCTCGCTGATTTCAAGTAAAAAGATAGAAATCTTTGATATCTACTATGTTAGAATAGAGTGATTTGGTAAGTTTTCAGATTTTGCAACATTGTTCCTTTCTATCATAATGAGATGAATTTTACCTATGATTAATAAAAAATTTCATGATAGCCCAATATTTAAAATAAAATATATTTTGATCATAAGTTAGATTTAATTATTCTTTATTTATCTCACATTTTCTCAGCTTTTCATATGTATTTTAGTTAGTAAAAATGCGAAATAGTCAGTTTGACTCATTTCTAATTCAATATATAGTTTATATTTCTATAATAACAAGTATAATATATTTGAATTATATGTATTAAATAAATTGATATATGTTTAACATTAAAATTCTAGTCTCTATAATAAACAATCAATAACGTTCATGTCCCCTTCCGCAGAAGTTTTAGTGACATAATCATACAACAACAACAAAAAAGTGAAAACAAAAAAAATTAGACCGCGGCAAATAAAGAACAGACCGAAAACCGAGATCGTTTTTTAAAGTTGCGGCCAAGAGGCAGATCGCTTGATAACTGGTTTCATGAGTTTGTCTTCTTCGAGAGATATCATACCGATGTGTGAAGGATCTTCTAGCAACATTTTAGCCACTAAGTAACCAGCTATTGACCAGGTCTGGTACTTTCTAGCCTGTTTTCCGACGTACCTCCCGAGCTTGCCGTCGTAATACTCTGGCCAACAGTCTCTGTGAAGACGCGATTCTATTAGGTCAACCGCACGTCTTGCAATTTGCGGTCTTCCTGTTTTAATGCACGCTGCCGTTAGCTGCCACAGCAAAACTGTGCATTGCAGCAGAAACAAAAATGCAGTCAGAATCTAATGGATAACACAATATTTCACATTCATTATCCATTCTACCCAGTTTTTAAAATGCAGGTTTAAAGAATAAAATCTTGAGGTAACGAAAACAGACCTGGCCAGGAACCGCCGTTGTGGTAGCTCCACCGAGTGTTCTTGGGGTCACAGCCAGTGACGATGCGCCACTCATGGCCTTCAAGGCAAGGATAACAAATCTTGAGTGGCATCTCGCCTACAAGCTCAGCCCACCTGTGCTCAAGAAGGTCCATAATGGCCATGGACTGATCTGGAGTGGCCAAGGAAGAGAGTATGGAGACGCAGTTGCCGAGTGCAAACCACCGGAAGTCCATATGGGCAGGTCCTACGTTGCCCACAAAGTAGCCTCCCCGGAGAGGCATGAAGTCAAAAACCCAATCTGGTATAGAGTCCGGCATTACATTGAACTTGTTCACTGCGGTGTGTGAGTATTCTTCAGTCTTGTACCTTCAAATAAAAGATGTATGAGCAAGTGTAAATATTTTTGTTTTCTAGTTTATACCTACCTGTAAATGTCATTGAGCTGCTGGTGATCAAGCCAGAAGTAATTGCGCATATGGAAGCTCAAGGCGTGAAGTCGCTTAGTGATCTTCTCAATGCACTCTCTACCATCTCCGTCAGACTTTAGCATCGACAAGGCACATCTCAGAGCCATGTAGAACAACGCTTGGATTTCAATTGGATACCCATAAACGCCCTTCAATTTACAAAAAAAAAAAAAAATTTATAACCACATTAACATTTATTTATATAATAATGTGTACGAAGCTTCATCAAGGATGTGTTTGATTACCATTCTTCGATCAATCATGGAACATCCATCCGCACAAAGCAGAGTAGGGAATGTGTCGAACCCTTCAGCTAAGCACAAAGACAGGATCAGTTTAATTCCCTTTTGACACTCTGGTGTCTCCGAGAGAGTCAAATCTCCTGTAGACTTGGTGTAAGCACGGAGAAGAATAATCCACCAGAACCCTGAATCAACAGGGGCCACTCGTCCAATGGCGGTTTCACCAAAATCTGCAATGAGGTGGTCTTTTTCTCGTACAGGGTCGTGACGCACCTTGAAGCTTGCAGGCATCACACCTTTTCCTAACTTGAACCTGTCCACACGCTTCTCAGAGTCTTGAAGATGAAGTGTTTTGAGCAAGAAGTGTTTCACTATGTCCGATTCTCCATTCATCAGAAACGCCAGTGCACTCGGTACAAAATCACGCACAAACACCTACAGAAACAGAACATTTTTATGGAACACTCAGAAACAAAACAAAACATAACATTCAATAATACAACCTGATAAAGAACAATTAGCCAACCCACTAATTTCTCAACCAAACCAATTGTTACCTGGTCGTAGTTTAAGACCTCGTCGGTAGTGTTATCGACAGCTGCGAGGGTACCAACAGGATGGCCACGGAAGAAGACCATTGACCTCCTTAGAGCTTCCCAAGCCTCAGCCATCATAGGATGAGGCTCAAAGCAGTTTCTAGCAGAAGAAAGAGGTGTGTCGAGCACCGACCTGCCTCTTGGAGAATCGTGGAAACCGTCGTGTCTACCGTAACCAGCCGATAGTTCACTCATTGACCGCTCATCAAAAGATCTCTTCCGTTCGATCTTTAACCTCGGTCTGTCTAACGCTCTAGTCAGATCAAGATCGTCCATCTCTGATAAAGAACAGTGTGAACCAACAGCTCTTAGTCCGAGTGACTCCATCTCGGTTAAATTCGATTCAAACAGTCCTGAATATAAGTAGACCCAAGATCTAAAATAAATACCAAACAAAAAAAACAAGGCATCTAGTGTCGTTGAGACACGCGAAATTAGCTTGTCCAATATACACTCTCAAATTTCAACCCGTAAACAAATAAGATCAAACAAAATAGCACATTGTATATAAAATTTAGATTTTTTTATGAGAGAAGCTGTGCTTCTTACTGCTACATCCAAATCGTAAAATGAAACAAATATAGATCAAGATCCAAGAGCAGATACAGATTTAAGATCAGTCGTGCTTGCTCTAGGAAGAATAAAAAAAAATCAGATCTAAATCTACATAGCCGAATCGAAATGAAATAAGAACACAAGCATATTAAAAGAAATACAAAGTGGGTTTGTTTGTAAGGGACAAAGGAACCGAACCACCTGCCGGCGATGATAAACTGAGAAAGTCGTCGGAGGGGCGCGTAAGTTTGATGAGATCCGACGAAGCCTCACCGTTAATGGGAGAAGAGGGGGAGATTTATAGAGACTAAGAAAGAGGAACGAAGGGGAAAAAAAGAAGATAATGAGCGCAGACGCTGCTTATTTATATATTGACGGACGAACAGAACGAAACGCAACTTTTTCGATAAAAAAGACGAATTTAGATGGCACTTTTGGCACACAAAAAAAAAGTCGGCACTTTAAGCGGGTCTGGTAAAAAGAGTTTTTTACACTATAGGGCAATTTTGAATTTTTTATTTTATTATAAAACAGTTATGGCTACAAAGTAGTTTTTGTAAATTAAATCTACTCTCTTTCTTTCCAATCAAACTAATTCAGTTTCTTCTATTCCTTTTTCTATTTAACGTAATTTAATAAAAGAAAGCCATTATTTTATTTCTTACCTTCTTCTTCTTTCATAAGATCTTAAGAGCAATTACTATTAGAACCCTAAATCTGCCATAATTTTTTGGGCAACTCTACCATCAAATTTTTCCATTTCAATCAAGCTCTGCCATGAATCTTAACCATCGCCAACTTCCGCACCACCAGATTCCGCACCACCACATACTCTTTAAAGTATTTTCCAAAGTCATGGTCGCACACTCGCCGTCGCGACTCCGTCAGAACAAGCTCGAGAGCATCAATGGTTGTTTATAGTTTTTTTTGCTCATTTGGTCCTTTATGATTCACATAATTGCTTTTTGACTCCAATTTTTTTTTAATTGTGCAGATGTCTACTCCCTAAATTCTTAATTGTTAAGTTTAGCCCTTATTTTAACTACAAATTAGTTTTTTTATCTTTTGTTTGCTTTCATTTTTGGCCTATTGTCAAATAAATAATTATGTTTTGTGTTTGTTTATGTATGTCATTCACGTACACGAGTACATAATGACTACATACATGTGTACATGTGTGTAAATATGTACAATCGTGGTCGTGTACACATGTGTAAGTATGTACAATCGTGGTCCTGTACACATGTATACATTCGTGGTTATGTACATGTGTACAAGCATGGATATGTACAAAATTATATATTATTGATGTACACATATGTTCGAAATATGCTTGTTGCACATCAAAATTGTGGTTTTATATTGCAAAGGTTTTACAAAATGCACATCCCTTGTGTACACATATTCAGTTTGATTTGATCTATTTTATTATGTATTTTGTTTTTTAAGTAAGCTATCATCAATTCACCTACTTGTGTACAACTTCTTCACATATATTGGTCCATTTTCGAAATACACGTGTACATGTCACAAAGTGTACATAAAATAGCGAACAAACTCTTTGATTACTTATTCCAGTATTTCTTCTTAATTGCAAGATGATCCTTGTTTTATTGCTTTCATTTTTACCTCCAAAATTTCAAAGCTAATAAAATGTATTGGAAAATAAATTAAATGAACTAAAATCAAAGCTAAAAATCATTAGATATGAATAACACACAAAACCATATGTACACTTATTGTTATGTAATTTGGTATTTTTTTAGTAAGCAATCAGTAGTTTACCTTATGTGCACAACTTATTCACATATATTGGTTCATTTTGAATGTACACGTGTGTATGTCAAAAAAGCGTACACAAAATAACGTGTATACATTAGATAAGGTGTACACCAACATCGGAAATGTACCTTCACAGATCTTAAAAGATAGATCGAATAATGGAGACAACGATTTCATCAAAAAAAATTTGAGAAAAGAAATTTAAAAATCAGATTTGAATATTTCTAAAAAAATTAGAGAATGAAAGAGGAAGAAGACAAAAGAGAAAAAGGGAGAAAGATGAGAGAAAGATGTGTGGTGGAGGTAAGTTTCCGCTATTACACTCTCTTTATTTAGTTAAAAAGTTAGTGGTTAGAATTATTAAGTAACTAGCTAGTTTAGGAAAAGTAACGAAAAAAAGAAAAATTGTTAGCATAAACTGCCTTTGTAGTAGAAACTGCTCTATTATGTAAAAAGAAACTCAAAACTGCCTTATGTGTAATTGTTTCTGGTAAAAAAGGTGAATTCAGTTTACCGGTTAGAAAGAGGAGAAGTCTAATCCACGCGGACTAAACGACGACGTTATATCGATTCTGATCTGCTTTATCTGATTTGGCCTTTGTATTTTCTCTTGAGAAACCTGGTTTATCAGTTTCCCGTGTCACATTTTCTAACCGATACACCTAAGAAAGTTAGGTTGACACTGCATTTACTAGGCTACATATGAGACAATTACATGTAAAGACACATTTTCACTTTTGAATTACACTTGAAGACACAAGTTGCTTGAAACACACATTTTACATGTAATTTGTGTCTTCTATCCTCCTATCTTGGTTAACTAAACATTTATTTATTTTATGTTTTTATCTTAACTAAATATCTAAATACATGGAGCATCGAAAGTGCAACCTCTCTCCTAACTTAAATCTATCTTCCCAAATCGCCGTACCCTAATCCCCCCCCCTTTCATCTTCTTCTGATATTTTTGTTGACAACAATGAAGAACTCAAAAGTTATAAGATTTTGTGTTTTTCTTCTTTTTTTCTTTATGATTTTCAATTGAATCGAATCTCTAAGATTTTTGTGGTTCCTGTGAGATGACGAGCAGGTCCAAGCTCTGGTGGGAGAGGACGACGCGACGGCGAGCAGGTCCGAGCTCATGGTGTGCAAGAGGACGAAGACAAGCTCTAAAGGTGTGGATGAGGACGTTGGTTAACTCTCGTTGTTGTGTGATTGGATCTATGGTGCTCTATCAAGTATAAGGTTGCAATTGAACTTTATATGTGGAGGAGAAATTGGATGTGCTTTACCATTTGGTTCGGTGAATGAAGAAATAAATCGGTCTCAAAGATGAAGGTGATGGTGACTAGGATTGCTTAGTAAAGAACAAGAAACATAAG